TTTTCATGAAATTTAATTAAGGTACAAATTAATAATTTTTTCATCAATTTATTTTTCTAAAAAATAAAAAATAAAATATTATATAAAGACTATGCTATTGGTCTATAATTTTTGTTCTATATTATATATAGAATTTTTTTTTAATTATAGTATTTTTTAACCACTGCAAAATTAAATGTTAAGCTACATCATTGATGAATTGGTTATGCGTTAATAGATTTAAATGTATAATATTTTATTCATCTAAAAGATTAACAAATGCACCGGATCCCACTTGCTTTGGTAAGATAAAATCATGACTTCTTTATTAAAATAAATAATAACTGAGAGAGTAAGTTTTCAATCAGATAGGAAATGAAAGAATGAGAAAATGAATGATTCAATTGCAATTGCAATATTGTTTTTATCTCTTTAGCTCATTTTTTAAAAAAATCAGCCTTAGAGATAATCCATTTGAAGGCTATAATTGAAGAGATTTTTAATCTTTGTAGTCTTACTTTCAGTCCTTTACAGCATTCAAGTTCACATCTGATTAGTTTTTCATCTAATTAACTTTTTGACTTTTCATCTTCATGAAATTAAAACTAAAAATCAATTATTCATTCTACTCGGTCATAAATAGTTTGTACTATTTTTAAAATCTTAATATCTAGAAAATTCAAAATCAAGCATTCCCAGTCTTTGCAATTTTTTTTAGGTTGAATGAAAGATACGAGTGAGATAAAACAACTTATATATCATTCCATCTGTTATCAGTTGGCAAAGGAGCATTTATTTAGGCCTCGCTGCTCCTAAGACATGGAGAGACTTGAGTTAATTATTTATTGTTGTTACAAGTATGTAGATACGACAATGCATGCATGAATTGATCACCAATTACACTTGAAAGCATTTTAACACAACGTAGAACCATCCTCTCTTCGGAACAAGAAGTTTTTTTTTGCAAGCTGCAGTTGTGTCGCACGGTACTTCTAGCTTAATTTCTCCTCCCTCTAAGGTTGGCATATTTGATCTCTAAGGTTGGCATATTTGATATCGAAAGATTTGTCAGAAATAATTTCTTAGTCTATTTTTTTATTTTTTTAATTTATACATTCAAGATTTCTAACAAAATTAATCTATTAGGATTTGAACCCGTAACCTCTTATAAAAGATCACTATTATTATACTACAAGTTCTTTAGTAATTTCTTAGTCTATTTCATGTACATAAATAATTCATTATTCTATTTCATGTAATAAATGGCATGATATACACTTGGGAGACCATAGCCAATTGTTTTGATTGCTTGTCAAACTTTTACCGATCATCATCCTCTCTCAAGGCTACTCTTAGCCTCCTAACTTGATGGGTTTGATTGCTTTGACTTGTGCTCAAAAGCTTATTGTTTGGGCCTTCGTTTTTCCAATTGACATGATGATGTCATTATTTGACTAGTTTGCTGAACTTGATATACATTTGGGAGATCATGGCCGACTGTTTTTATTGTTTTTCAAACTTTTACCGATCGTCATCCTCTTTCAAGATTACTCTTTGCCTCCTAACTTGATGGTTTTGGCTACTTTGACTTGTGCTCAAAAGCTTACTCGTTTGGGCCTTCGTTTCTCTAGTCGACATGATGATGCCATTGTTTGCCCAATTTGTTAAACTTGATTAGAGTTGTTAGATCCTTGACCTTAACCCCAAGTGTTCTCAATTTTACCATTCACATCGAGTCATGAGATGTCCTCGAGTACTAATCAAGATCAAACATTTGTCGTTCTCTTGGCATAACCACTATTAGATTTTGTCTTTTGATGTTTGCATCATAATTTATAAATTGATCTTGAAATTTTAGTCATATTTTGACAAAGATGAGGCTAATTCTTCATTGATTTTGAGATGCCTTTCTCACTCTTTTTCTTGTCCATGGCACCCTACATCTATTTTCGAACTTTCCGGGCATGTAGTCGAACAAGTGCTATCCTATAAAATTCTTATAGGGAGGGTAATATAGTCGTTGATTGTCTTGCAAATTGAGCGTTGCAAGCACTCTTCCTACAAGGTTCTATTCTCGGTTATTGATTTGTCCACCTCTTGTAGATTCATTGTTTTAGAAGAAAAGCCGAGTTTGTTTAATTATCATCCTTGTTAAGGAGTCTTTGAGTTGGAGTCTTATTATTTTGCAACTATGTTATCTTTAGTGGTCTATTTTACTTAGCTTTTAGTTCTCTTCTTTCTCTACAACAAATATATCTATAACTATTATTTTAGGAGTTTAAGCTACCTTGTCCTCCTAGTGTGTTAGGTTAGGCTAGTGTTTTCCATGGCATCTTACATATATTTTCAAAACTTTCTAGGCATGTATTAGAACAAGTACCGCCCTACAACATTCTTATAGGGAGGTAATATGGCTACCGATTGTCTTGCAGATTGGACGTTTCAGCACTTTTTCCGTAAAGTTCTATTCTCGGCTATTGATATGTCCTCCTCCCGTAGATCTCGTTGTTTCGAAGGTAAACTAAGTTTGTTTAATTATCATTGTTGTTAAGTAGTCTTTGAGTTAGAGTCTTATTATTTTGCAACTATGTTATCTTTAGTGGTCTATTTGACTTAGCTTTTAGTTCTCTTCTTTCTTTACAACAAACATATCTATAACTATCATTTCAAGAGTTTAGGCTACCTTATCCTCTCGGTATGTTGAGTCGGGCTAGTGTTGTCTCCTTTTATATCCTTTCACGTTTTATTTAAGATATCTTCAAGATACCACCCTACTTCTCAATAAGTAAATAAATAAATAAAATAAAATAAAATTAGAGTTTATCATTAGACTAGTACGAGGATGCTGAAAAGGGGCTGATAAATTAATTAAGTGGTCCTCCATGTTTTTTATATCAATTATTTTAATCCTCTCACTTTTCTTTTAGCACCCCAACCATTATAACAATTCATTCTTGTTTTGATCCCTCCAAACGAATTATAGATATCATATGGCAGCAACATGTTACCTTGTGTACATATATAAGTAGACAGAAGAACCAAAAATATTTTTATGCATAGAGGTTAAAATGACTAAAATTAAAAACTTAAGAGACCGAATGTGTAATTTACCTAGCAAAAGGATAGTGGACGTGTTTTGAAAGTCTTAAAGAATTGGGATAGATCTCTTTTGGAGGTACTGTGGGTTTATATGTAAGGAAAGGTATGATGGATTGATTAGCTTTTTCCTTTTTCTTTTTCATTTGTTATATAACAAGCCTTAGAGTAAGATTCCTATTGATTTCATGAAAGAAACATATGTGTGCACTTTGGCCTTCTTTTGTTTGAGAGTACATAAAGTTGTGCTTTTCAATTTTTATATCGATCCACTTGGCCTTCTTTTGTTTTTTATGTTATCACGAAAAAGAGTCCCCCCACTTTTCCCCCATATACATTGAGGCAGGATCTCCTCCATCATGAATCTATCTTGCAAGTATACCTACCGGCTGGTATTAGCCCAGTGGCTGGTTATACCTACCAACTATGTTTTGCAAATTAAGTTTTTCTTTTTTCTTTTTTTCCTATGTATTCTTGGAATTATTTAATTAAAATTACATACTTTTTTTCCTTATTAATTAAGTGTTCTAATAGAGTACCACATAGACATATAACACATGTTGCGAAATTTTGATGGAAACATATCTCCTTAAACATATAACTAACAAAATTATAATAGAAGTACGACGATAAAACAAAATAAAGAATAAAAAGACTTAATCTATACACAAAAAAACATATAAAAGAACAAATATAGGCTAAACTCTATAAATATTTATATGTATGTGAAATTTTACTGTCCATAACATTTCCAAAGCCATAAATTTCCACCCCACTTTTGATTCAGGGCATTTTATAATAACTTTCCCTCCTTAAATGTCAGTTTTTGAGCGATCATCAATAAAATATTCATCAACAATGGATGTTATGGTAACCATATACAATTCTTGAATGCCTAATACACAACAACATGGCTATATATTAATTAAGTTATTTCTTAGCCAACAACTATAGCTACTTGTGAGTACAAAAACATTTACCGCCCTATCTTTTTTCTTTTTCCTTCAGTATATTCAAATTAATTATAATAAAGAAAAGTTCTACTAATTAATACATTTCAACGCATAGTTAGGTCTCAAACTTAGAGACAAGCTTATTTTTAGATTCTTAAAAGTGATTCTTTTTGGCACCTAGTATGAAACAACAAACATACAGAGGCACTGCTTTCTTAATGTCCTCACTAAAATAAAATATAATAACTTTAGCAACTGCTTCCAATTAGCAAGATTTTCAGCAGATGTCTAAGGGAAATTTGCAAAGTAAATTGATTCAAGCAACTGCAAATTGGTATATATATATATATATACAACTTTGGGAGCTAAATATGTAGGCACTTTTAAATATGGCATGATGAATAACTTCTCCGTGTTGAAAATTAAGTACGAAAGGAATTGTTGATTCATATAATCGATCATCATACATGGTTGGAAAGCTAGTGATGCGAAGCTACGGTGTACTAGATTATAATTCTAAGTCTTAATCCAAGCTAGATTTCACTTGTGTAAGAAAGAAATTTTGAAAGCTAAAAATATCTGCTAGCAGAGAGAAGTTCCATTCTTTAGTCTCTTGATTTGTTGAAAGCTAGATAGTCAACTCAAAAACAAAATTTTTGGACTGGCAAGAAAGGGTAAAAGTCTTTTGGGATATAGTAAGGATTTTAGATCTCCTAGACACCAGCCACACCTTGAGTGGCATGTTCCAAATTTCAACATCAGAGGATAACAACTGCAATACTGCTCAGCCACCACCTTTGACAGTGGTCACGAATGCAATCATTTTCCTAGCCAATGGACTGTCTAGGAATATCGTTTTTGCCTCTGTAGCCACTTCTTCAATCTGGTTATGTGATAGCTTTGAACTCCAAGTTGAGTTACCCTTAAGTAGATTTTAAGTATTTCATGGCCAAATAATTAACAGAAACTGGCTTAGCTAACTTCCCTGTAATTGCAGACTAAAGCTTCACGCTCGAGGGGTGCAATGTTCACGACTGTTTCTTGCACTAGAGGCGGTGGTTGGTCTGACGAGCTAGCCTGACTTACACCAGCAATCTTCTGGCATGTCTCCATAAGGCACTGTCTGCATGTAGGGCAAGACGAGTGTGAGCTAAGCCACTTATCAATGCACCTCGCATGAAATCCATGGCTACACTTCGGCAAAATTCGAACTCGATCACCAAGTACAAACTCTGATATGCATATGACACATTCTGCGTCCAACCCTGGCAATTTACTGCTCTCTGGTGAGTAATTCACTACAGGGAAAGTTTTCAAGGCTTTTTTCTTGATCCCTCTATTGGAAGGATTTGCATTCAAATATGAGCACCTTAATGCACACCTTATGAAAGAATTTAGTCCAAGTGAACTAAGGAGTGCGCATATAAGGACTACAAGGACCAAAACGACGTTTATATCGAAGTTCTTATCGCTATTGGCATTAGGATTCAATGGATCTTGGATACGACTAGAGGGTGGAGTTGCTATGGATGGTGGCGGGGAAAGAGGGGTTTGTAGTAACAATTTTCTTGAGTGAAAATCACCAAGAAAATGTTGGAAGACTAGAGAGGAAGTGGAAAAGGTAGTAGACATTTATGTTATGAGTATGTTTTAGAGTTTGGATATTACTCTTGTAGTAGGACCATATATATATATAGATGGAAAATAATAAAGTTTGGGTTTGCTTTTTTTATGAATCTTTGATTTTTGATTGCTTTGATTGACCACTTGTGTGGAAAGTTTTAAGAATATCTAAGGTTTTATGACCCCACGGCAGGCGGCTTATATTTGATTTTAGGTTCATCCCCCACTTAATTAGTACTTTTTTCTTCTAGATTTAATGGTATCCTTTGCTATTAAATTATTAGAGTCGTAGCATATTGAGACCTATACTATTAATTTAATCAATCTTATTCTTAAATTATTATATTTTGAATAAATATTGTCCATCCGCATGGTATGGTTGTTGTCATTGATCAAAAACTTATTAAAAAATTTTAATTTTTGATATTGTGATGAGTTGAAATTATTCACATATATATCCTAATAAAAATTCAGTATGTTTTTTAAAATAATTTCAAAATATGTCGAAGTTAAGAAGCATTTTATAATTTTTCTTAAACATTAACTATTAATAAACTTAAAAAAATAAAAAATAATTTGAAATGATCTCACATTTTATTGAGATGCCTATAAAAAATCATAAAATTTTATGTGTTTAGTTGTAATATGATTCTCAAAAAATTTAAAAGATCAAGTACGTAAAATCCAATTGAGCTTAAAATAGGTTAATTTTGAGAACAATATATGTAAAAAATTTAAGAACCACACTAAAATCATCTATGTAAATTCATATGATTATCTTAGAGCTTTCAAAAAAATTTGAGTTAATTTCAGATTTTTTTTCTATTTTTTATAATTTATTACATTTTATTGTTCATAAAATAAATAAATAAAATTTCAAAATCAAGAAATTTTAAAATCATTTGTTAAAATAGAGTAAATTTTAGTTAGCTTCTATTAAAAATTCACTTAAAAATACCAAAATTTGAATCTTTTTAAAGAGATTTTTGTTCAATACTAATGGTACTAAAACCGCCAAATGGAGAGAAAATATTTATCCAAAATATAATAGCTTAAGATCAAAATGACTAAATTAATAATATAACTCTTAATTTACTGCACTTAAGGGCAAAAATATGCCATTAAACCTTTACTTTCGTATTTAGATTTTTTTGCGGTACGGAAGGATAGTTCGAATCTGATATCTTTTTGTTTATATTTTAATTGGCTTTCAATTCCAAACGTGCCGTCTCCCACTTTCTATTGCAAAGTGCGCAGTGCCTTTATATCTACAAATTGTACATACAGGAATCTGCCAGTCCAATAAATGGTCATGAAATTTCTCTATCTAAGATTGTGTTTATCAGTTCAGATTCAAGAGGGCTTTTTTAATACTTTTAGTTGATATAGTGCTTTTATTCCTGCGAGCAACGATTCTCTTTTTGACCTTTTCCAGCCTGAATGCTTGTACAGTAGGTTCCTAAAGATATTTTGCAAGTGAATATCTAAAATCTGGGCTAACTTTGTAAAATACTAGGCAAGGGATGTGTCTGGAAACATGTAGCAATGGAGCTCGAAGGTGCAGTGCTGCTCACTTCCTGTGTTCTGTATCATTTATCCTCTTTTTTTGGCAAGCACGTTTTCTTGAACCAAAACTGTCCCTTTAAAATCCTGTTGCATTATTTCAAATGGGTGATAAAAGAATAAGATGTTTGATTATAAGTACTAGAAAAAATCTCGATCGTTTAAATCTGGAGATTGAAAAAACCTAATAATACCTAACTAGCCTACCATTGGTTAAACAAGGAAAATAAATGATAAATCAATTAAAAGAGCTTAGTCTTAATGACGAAAGTTAATCTAAAAATATCCTAATCCTTAAGATAAAAATCAATTAGGAGTGAGTGCAACCCATGTCATGTTTCAAGCCTTTGTTAGTTGTTACCTTTTCTTATGATATTACTTTTTGTGAATCATGCCCTAGTCAATATTTCAATGAAAAATCTGCTTTCACTGAATGCTAGCTCTCGGAATTCTAGTAATCAATCATGTGAACAATCATTCCATGTAATTTCTTTTACCTTTTGCCAATTTGCCATTAAGTTTCCTCTCTACCAACTCTCACACATTCTTATCGTTAATCAAAGATAATAATTTTGATCGTGGGACGCCAGCAGAATCTCTTTCTTGATTTTTGTGTTTCAACTTTTATTGCAATTATAATATATTATGTATTTTCGGAGTATTATTTCAACCAAAAAATTTAAATTTTTTGATAAAGGCTTTATGTATTGTTAGAGATTAGTATAAATTATATTCTAGAGCATCACCTATCGGTTTAAGCTTTTAAGTTAGATGATCCTTTAATATAGTATCGAGTTTAGTTGACCTTGAGATCTTAAATTCAAGTCGACAATTCTTAATTTCTCAAGTATTAAGCAAAAGATAATGTAGACTCGTGCAAGTTCCATGTCCCAAATGTTAGACCTTTCACTTAAGGGGATGTGTTAGAGACTAGTATACATTATATTATAGGGCCTCATCTATCGACTTAAGCTTTTAGGTGAGATGATCCTTTAATATATATAATTTTATGTATTTTCTTGCGGTTATGGTTTGTGTTCTTTATTCTGAAAGTTTTTTAAAATTATCCACCGCATCCTGCATCCACTCCCAACTTGCAAGAGAATCAGAGAACAACGGCCCCCTCCAGAACACTCAGTTTCTATCAGTTTTGCATCAACTTGGCAAGCAAATTGTCAGATGTGCAATCTAATTAAGTATAACAAATTAGCTTCTCCTTGGGGCCCCAAATAAAAGCAACATTGTCTACAAGATCTTTGTACATAGGGACGTGATTAAAAACCTCCAAAGTGGAATAGGTAGAGGGAAGTAATTAATTGTCAAAAAAGGTTTGTCAAGAATCTAGCTATTCATGATTTTGTTGCATGTCTATGATGTTTATAATGTGATAAGATTAATTTATGCTCAGAGAGTTATCCATAGAGAACAAGTGGCTTTACTTTTTTTTTTTTTTTTGTACTTTCTTTTCTTAATCCAATGACTTTCCGTATATATATGTTGTGATAATAAATCTAAGCTTTTGTTTGTACTAGGCTTGAAGCACCATTAGTTTGGATATCCAACTTGGTCTTGGCTGGAGTTCACTAGGGTTTTACTTGATTTGTGGACCATAGTTATTGAGAGAGACTGATCGACTCATATCTTTTCACAAATGTTACAATAGCAATGACATAATTGTCTATTCTCACCGTCCTATCTCAGTGTACCTAAATACGAACAAATGAAGGAAGGGATATTTGGAATTCATGCTGGTGTTCGATGGATCTATTGAGCCGGACTTGACTCCGGCAAGACTATGGCAAGGACTGGACAACAAAACTACGACCAGAGGTACATCTCCTGATGAAAACCTTCAGGCATGCTCCTTAGCTACCATTTGCACGCATAGAAATGTTAGGTAAATTGGACTTGATCTCGCCATTACTTGGTCAATTGGATATTTCTTCTATGTTAGGTAAAACTAACAGCGGCTGAGTGAACTGGATAACTTTCTCCTGTATTCATCCATATGAAATATAAAATTCTAACAACCCTTGCAATGATAGTAATAAAATAATTTAAAAAAGTATAAAAATAAATTATTTTGAAATTTTTAAATAAATATACTCTATAGAAATGAAAAATAAGAGGTTTAGATTGACCTTTTATCAGACAATAATAATAAAAATATATATATATATATATACAAAATCATGACTGCAATAAGAGACATCTTGTGCAAAATATTTATTTAAAAAGACCACACAAAAAAAATTCAAAAAATATAAGGACCAAAGCATATATCATACAAGTTGAAGTAGAGTTAGCAAAAAAAAAAGTCAAAATTAAGCAATATAATGTTGCTTATTAGATGTTGTTTGATAAAACAGACATTTTATTTGAAATATGTATAATAACTTGTAATTGAAATAATAATGTGTTAGCTTCTTAAATTTTGAATGGTCATAATTTTCACAATCTGTTCTTCATTTATAGTTTGTTAATGAAACAAAAAGTGACCATCCAAAATAAAAAAGTAAAAAAAAAAATTGTCAAATTGGAATGAAATTGAAATATTTTAAAATTCATTATGTAGAAGGTAGAAACAAAAATTATATGTGACAAAAATTTAACAACCAAAACAAAATAAAAATCACATAACAAGAACAAAAAAAAAAAAAAATCACTAAAAACCTAAAAAGACTTAAGTACGGTAAAAGCTAAAAGACCCATTATGTATAAGATATGGAAAAAAAATCACTATTGAAAAAATTTCAATAACCAAAACAAAGAAAAGATTACAAAACAGATGACCAAAATAAAATCAAAACTTTCATAGGAAAGCAAAAAATTAAGAGCAATAGTAAAACTACTTTTAGTTTTTGTTCTTTTATGATAACAATGAAAATTAAAAGAAGTCATCCTTTTCTCTCTTTTTTTTCTTTTTCAATCCAGGCTAGGTTTTATCAAGTAACGTAACCAAGTGAGATAAATTGGTTTAGATTAGATTGATTGGGTTCGACAGATTAATAATTTGGATCATGAACCTATCGAGGTTGAATTAGAGATGACAATGGGTCGAGTATAAAATGAATACCCGCTTTACTCGGCTTAATAAATACTCATTAAGAATATCCAATGGGTATTGAAGTGGGTAAGAGTAAAAAAATACATATCCACTAATATGGATTCAAGATATGAGTACCTACTCTTTACTCGTATTAATATCCACTAATTTGTTTAGATTTTTTTTATTAACACTTAGGGATCTAATTGCATAAATTTAAAAATTAAGGATCAAAATATTTTTATACAAAAATTTTAGGACAAAAAAACTTATAAATAAATGATCAAAATGTAAAAAAAAATAAAGGGTTAACAAAACTTTTTTTGAAAATTATAAGGACTAAAATAAATATTTTTCATAAATTAAATTTAACAAGTATTAAATAAACGAGATAATTAAT